CAAACTGCGGCCCTTTGCTTATCTTTATCCGGCCCTTGGGGCATTATTCCTGTCACTGAAACCAACCTTGGGGCATAATTCCTGCCACTGACACCAATAGTGGGGAATAATTCCTTCCACTGATACCAGCTATGGCGCATGATTCCTTTCACTGACACCAACTATTTCTCCCACTAATATCAAAGATCAGACATTGGTTACTCCCACAGGCCATAGCCTGGCCCCCTCAAAAGTCTGAAGGCTACTAAACTGGTCCTTTCTTTGGAGTTTGGAGACCTCTGCACTAGGCCATATTCCGGTTGTTATTCTTACAGCTGAGCTCTCCCATTAACCTCTATGGAGCATCTAGCCAGCTTTGCACAGCTACTGAACACTACATCTGTGTTCTGTTTTGGGGTATACTACCTAAGAGAGGAAGGGGGAAACCTATACTGAGTTTTCTCATACAAAAGGCTAACACTTGAGTCCCTAAGCCTCTCACTCTAAACCCCCTTGGGTCCCAGAGCATTTTTTTTCTTCTTGGCATTGTTTAGGTTCCATACAATATACCTTTGTGGAAGCATTCTGTTTACATTTGCTTTTACAGCAAGATCCTATGAAACAATCTTTGAAATGGCACTGGGACAAATAGCTGCTTTCCCTTCACCATTTTAAATAGTGCCTGGAACTCAAATGGTTAAAAGAGCACCTTGGGTGGCCTACACTCTCTGGGACTGGTAGATTTCCTTCTGCATTAAGAAGATGGCCACAACAGCAAGCAAGGTGTTCCAACTGTCAGTGCGGTCAAATTGCTGATGAGTCCCTTTCCTCAGAACTGCTGACCAGCCTGTATGAAGGTCAAGTTGTAAATAACCATGGCTGAAATGCCTCGGGAGCAAAACTTCCACCTCCTCTACTTATTGAGGAGCGCGGAGTTAGAGGGGGTTATTTCAAGTACAGGTTGGTCAGCAGCTCTGAGGAAAGGGACTCGTCCCCGAAACGCGTCAGTCATTTGACCGCATTGACAGTTGAAACACCTTGCTTACCGTTGTGGCCATCTTCTTAATGCAAAAGCTTTTTATATACATGCTTCGTCTGTGAGTATGTTTTTATCTTTTATACCTTTAAATAAACCTTGGATAATGCACTAGATGTGTGCGCCACTTGTTTATTAAGTGTTCTTGCATGGCAAGACCACATCTCACATATATATTCTTACTATTTTAGCCAAATTTACCACCCTAACTCCTCCCACAGTTTTTACACTACATAGACAGTAATATACCGAAATGTGCGGATTGTTCCCGATTGGTGTGCTATTACTTTGTGGAACGTTTCGCCGAATGGCTCACAAAATATCGGCGTTTTTGTGGTAAAATTGGTCCCATAGGAATGAATGGCGGAATGTTCAAAACTAGAGTGGGAGCTGACAAAAGCTAGAGTGTGAGCTGAACACAAGAACACGTCACACAATTTCCCCAGAAATTGTAGCTTTTCTAGTTCTTTATGTAGTGGTTGATCTCCCTGTCTGAGGAGGGCTGAACCCCTGAAGCATCTTCTTTTGGTTATCTCTGTCCTGGTTCCCGTGGCTTCCCTTTGGCTGTCCATTTCCTGAAGCGCTGGAGAGTAAATACGATATCCGGTTCGGTAGATTTCCTTCATCAAAAGAGAGCATGTTGGCATCCATGGTGTGGCATAATACCTTGTAACATGGTTTGTCATAGAAACCTGAAGTGTGAATGATTAGGGTGGATTTACTAACTGCAAATAGACTATGCACCTTGGCAGTGCAGTTGCTTAGTAAATGAGGTGAAGCTTCACTTTGCAAGAAAACAACCAATCTCATTCAAGGAAAATAAAAAAAACAGCAGTTTTGCTTGCACATGATTGGATGATGGAAGTCAGCAGAGCTTCCCCTCATTTACTAAGCTCTGGAGCAATTGCACTTGCAAAGTGTGCAGTCTATTTGCTTTTTGTAAATCACTATTGTGTCCTTGACCTCACCTCTTAAGTAGTTGGGTTCCTTCAACATGGGTGAGAATGACACCACTGGTTTTCTCCCCCGTTAGTCGGTAAGCACGCCTGCTCTTCGGAGCTGGGTCAATAAAGAATAGTCATCAGCAGAGGCGTAACTACAGGCGTTGCAACTGTGACCCTGTCCCATTGCTCCAGGGGCTCTATGTGGTTCCCCTGTACACCTGGATAGGACGAGTGATGGGGGCAGCATATAGAGGAACTGATGCCCACCATTTTCCTCCTAAAAGCCTGCTTCTTCCCCTGTCACTCCCACAGGCAGTAAGTTGCTGCAGGCAGAAAATGGAGGGGATCAGTTCCTCTATATGCTGCCCCTACCTCCCCTCCTGTCCAGGTTACTTGTCTCCTGCTGCCTCTGGGCCACTGTGTGCTCCCCTGGCCCCCCTCCTCCGCAGTGCTTTCAGCACTGTCTTTAGCATGAAACGCATTTACCTGCCAGTCCCTCACTGTATTTCCACTGTCTGTATTGGTTTTATCTTGGTTCAATAAACTGGATTGTTTGTAGTGCAGCCAATCGGATGTCCTTTGTTCTCATCTATGCAGCACACAAGCTCGGCTAGCACCTACAGGAGGAGTTGTGCTTGGAGATTGGGAGGACAGCCTGGGAGGCTCTATCAGCTCAGGGCTTCTGAAGCCCTCCCACCTCACCGGAAAGCTGATAGATTTCTGGAGGAGGGATGGAGGAGGGGAGGAAGCCCAGATCTGCATGTTTAAGGGACCCTGGCCAATCCCCTGGCAGAGGGCTGGGCATGGAGTCCAGGGCAACTCTCAAAGTGGCAGAGCCTGTGCAGAGGGGGTCAGTGAGTGTTGGGTGGAAGATGGAGTGAGAGGCTGGAGTGTGGAGCCTGGGAGGGGGCGCAGGGAAGGGTCCTATCTACAGGCAGGTGCTATAAAAGAGGATATCCACTGTCCCAACATCTCTAAGGGAGGACATCCTGAGTAGCAGGGAAGGAGCAAGTCCAGCGAAAGACCTGAAGGCAGCCACCAAACAATTGAGCTATCTGGAGAGGACAGTGTGACGGGCGCGGCGTCAGACCCCAGCCCTTCTCACCAAACTCGTGACCGAAGGACTAGCCAATCTAAAACCGCGCTGTCATGTGCGTAACAATGCCACACCCAGCTGCACCCTGCACAACGATTTTCCAGCTAATGGACCACAGATCGATGTACCGGCAGCCTGTTACTGGGTCAGGTTAATTACGCAATTAACCCTTCACACTGCCACCACCTCTGTATACCGCTATCTCTACAGAACAGTTATACAGAGGGTTAAACACTCATAGCAGCGCTCTTTTTAGAGGCAGGGATTGGTAAATTGCAATTAAGAGCTATAGAAAGAATTCAACACTTTCAGAAAGTAGGATTTATTACCAAAAGGTTAAAAGGGTGCAGTACGAATATTTACAGAAAGAAGATGTAACCAGTGTGTGTATATATATATATATATATATATATATATATATATATATATAAATAAATATATAAATATACAGAACACAGCAAACAGATAACAGAAAGAAGTTTAGGTAAATAAGTACTTGCCAAATAAATGCCTGGAGTTAAGGAGTGTCGACTCTGATGAGCTAAAACAGGGATTTCTGGTCTCGCGTTGGGTTTCGTTGTTGCCGCGCGAGATTCTCCTTTGCTTTCTATTCGATAGATGTTGTATCGAGATGGTCCTCTTGTTTGACTGAACACAAAAGAAACACTTCTTTCTTCTACTCAAAATCTCTTCCCACAATGGACAAGCCAATACCTTATTTGGCAAAAGAATTGTTAGTTAGGGCTCAGCATCATACGCTGCTTGCATTCCTGTGGGAGGGGGGAAAATCAGAGGAGGGAGACTGATTTGGGAGTTTAAGAGAAATACCAAAGTGTAGAAACCTGGAGCAAAATGGAGAACTGTGCCTCTCCCTGTGGGCATGATTGTGACAGACAGTGTGAGTACTCATACAACCAGTGGTGTATTTTGGTTTTGTGCCACCCTAGGCATGACTAAAATTGGGCACCCCCCACGCATCTAAATTTGTCCCACCCATTTATCTGCAAACTTCACCCCTTCCTCTTTAGGCTCCACCTCTTCCTATTAGAGCTCCGTCCACTGACGATTGGGCGCCATTCCTCCCACTGACACCGATGATGGGGCACTATTCCACCCACTGACACTAATGATGGGGCACTATTCATCCCACTGACACCAATGATGGGGCACTAATCCTCCCATTGACACCAATGATGGTGTCCCATCATTAGTGTCAGGGTGTGAGGAATAGTGCGCTATCATTGGCATCAGTGGGAGGAATAGTGCCCCATCATCGGTGTCATTGGGAGGAATCGTGCCCCATCATCGGCGTCAGTGGGAGGAATCGTGCCCCATCATCGGCGTCAGTGGGAGGAATCGTGCCCCATCATCGTGGGAGGAATCGTCAGTGGGAGGAATCGTGCCCCATCATCGGCGTCAGTGGGAGGAATCGTGCCCCATCATCGGCGTCAGTGGGAGGAATCGTGCCCCATCATCGGCGTCAGTGGGAGGAATCGTGCCCCATCATCGGCGTCAGTGGGAGGAATCGTGCCCCATCATCGGCGTCAGTGGGAGGAATCGTGCCCCATCATCGGCGTCAGTGGGAGGAATCGTGCCCCATCATCGGCGTCAGTGGGAGGAATCGTGCCCCATCATCGGCGTCAGTGGGAGGAATCGTGCCCCATCATCGGCGTCAGTGGGAGGAATCGTGCCCCATCATCGGCGTCAGTGGGAGGAATCGTGCCCCATCATCGGCGTCAGTGGGAGGAATCGTGCCCCATCATCGGCGTCAGTGGGAGGAATCGTGCCCCATCATCGGCGTCAGTGGGAGGAATCGTGCCCCATCATCGGCGTCAGTGGGAGGAATCGTGCCCCATCATCGGCGTCAGTGGGAGGAATCGTGCCCCATCATCGGCGTCAGTGGGAGGAATCGTGCCCCATCATCGGCGTCAGTGGGAGGAATCGTGCCCCATCATCGGCGTCAGTGGGAGGAATCGTGCCCCATCATCGGCGTCAGTGGGAGGAATCGTGCCCCATCATCGGCGTCAGTGGGAGGAATCGTGCCCCATCATCGGCGTCAGTGGGAGGAATCGTGCCCCCCATCATCGGCGTCAGTGGGAGGAATCGTGCCCCATCATCGGCGTCAGTGGGAGGAATCGTGCCCCATCATCGGCGTCAGTGGGAGAATCGTGCCCCATCATCGGCGTCAGGGGGCGGAATCGTGCCCCATCATCGGCGTCAGGGGCGGAATCGTGCCCCATCATCGGCGTCAGGGGCGGAATCGTGCCCCATCATCGCTGTCAGGGGGCGGAATAGTGCCCCATCATCGCTGTCAGGGGGCGGATAGTGCCCATCCCCATCATCGCTGTCAGGGGGCGGAATAGTGCCCCATCATCGCTGTCAGGGGGCGGAATAGTGCCCCATCATCGCTGTCAGGGGGCGGAATAGTGCCCCATCATCGCTGTCAGGGGGCGGAATAGTGCCCCATCATCGCTGTCAGGGGGCGGAATAGTGCCCCATCATCGCTGTCAGGGGGCGGAATAGTGCCCCATCATCGCTGTCAGGGGGCGGAATAGTGCCCCATCATCGCTGTCAGGGGGCGGAATAGTGCCCCATCATCGCTGTCAGGGGGCGGAATAGTGCCCCATCATCGCTGTCAGGGGGCGGAATAGTGCCCCATCATCGCTGTCAGGGGGCGGAATAGTGCCCCATCATCGCTGTCAGGGCTGGCGGGGCGGATAGTGCCCCATCATCGCTGTCAGGGGGCGGAATAGTGCCCCATCATCGCTGTCAGGGGGCGGAATAGTGCCCCATCATCGCTGTCAGGGGGCGGAATAGTGCCCCATCATCGCTGTCAGGGGGCGGAATAGTGCCCCATCATCGCTGTCAGGGGGCGGAATAGTGCCCCATCATCGCTGTCAGGGGGCGGAATAGTGCCCCATCATCGCTGTCAGGGGGGAATAGTGCCCCATCATTGCTGTCAGGGGGCGGAATAGTGCCCCATCATCGCTGTCAGGGGGCGGAATAGTGCCCCATCATTGCTGTCAGTGGGAGGAATAGTGCCCCATCATTGCTGTCAGTGGGAGGAATAGTGCCCCATCATTGCTGTCAGTGGGAGGAATAGTGCCCCATCATTTGTGTCAGTGGGAGGAATAGTGCCCCATCATTGGTGTCAGTGGGAGGAATAGTGCCCCATCATTGGTGTCAGTGGGAGGAATAGTGCCCCATCATTGGTGTCAGTGGGGAATAGTGCCCCATAGTGCCCCATCATTGGTGTCAGGGGGCAGAATAGTGCCCCATCATTGGTGTCAGGGGGGAATAGTGCCCCATCATTGGTGTCAGTGGGGAATAGTGCAGGAATAGTGCCCCATCATTGGTGTCAGTGGAGGAATAGTGCCCCCCGTCATTGGTGTCATCATGCCCCGGTTGGTGTCAGTGGGAGTGGGTGTCAGTGGGAGGAAATAGTGCCCCGTCAATAGGGAGGAATGCCCCATCATTGGTGTCAGTGGGAGGAATAGTGCCCCATCATTGGTGTCAGTGGGAGGAATAGTGCCCCGTCATTGGTGTCAGTGGGAGGAATAGTGCCCCATCATTGGTGTCAGTGGGAGGAATAGTGCCCCGTCATTGGTGTCAGTGGGAGGAATAGTGCCCCATCATTGGTGTCAGTGGGAGGAATAGTGCCCCATCACTGGTGTCAGTGGAGGAATAGTGCCCCATCATTGGTGTCAGGGAGAATAGTGCCCCATCATTGAGGAATAGTGCCCCATCATTATCAGGTGTCAGTGGGAGGAATAGTGCCCCATCATTGGTGTCAGTGGGAGGAATAGTGCCCCATCATTGGTGTCAGTGGGAGGAATAGTGCCCCCATCATTGGTGTCAGTGAGAGGAATAGTGCCCCATCATTGGTATCAGTGGGAGGAATAGTGCCCCATCATTAGTGTCAGTGGGAGGAATAGTGCCCCATCACTGTGTTGTGTATCAGTGGGGAGGGCAAAACTCCCAATGGGAGGAATAGTGCCCCATCATTGGTGTCAGTGGGAGGAATAGTGCCCCATCATTGGTGTCAGTGGAAGGAATAGTGCCCCATCTTTGGTGTCAGTAGGAGGAAGTGCCCCATCATTGATATCAGTGGGAGGAATAGTGTCCCATAATTGGTGTCAGTGGGAGGAATAGTGCCCCATCATTGGTGTCAGTGGGAGGCCTACTTGGGACAAGTGAGGGGCAGTGGGACAGGAGGAACGCAGAGGGACAAGAGAGGGGCAGTGGGACAGGAGGAGCGCAGAGGACAGGTGGGGGGGCAGTGCATCAGAAGACAGTGAGACAGGACCGAGGGAGCACCAGTCCTCCAAGTTACCTGTCTAGCAGCAGCTCCTCTAGATGGTGTCACGATCACCAGGTGCCTGTGTCCCTTCTCCCCCAGGATCTCCGGCGGAGGTTTAATTTTTTTCAGTCGGCGATCAGCGTTCATGTAAAAGCAATCCTAGTAGCTAATTAGCTGCAGGATTGCTTTTACAAGCAGTGGGAGAACATGCCCCCCCCCCTGCTGCCTTCCATGGCCTTCTCGGGCAGTCCTGTGCCATCGGGGGGAACCTGAGAATGCAGCCCGTGTTTCAGCCATCTGACCATAGAGCTGATTGGAGACCAGAATGGTGCCAATCATCTCTATAGTCTGAGAAATTGGAAGCTACGAGCATTTCATCACTTCAGTTTAGCAGGATATAAACAGCGCCATTTGTAAATTCGGAAAGCATCTGATCACACCGATCTTGGTGAGATTAGATAATGTAAGGGCAGAGGAGATATCTAGTCTGATAGACCCCAGATTTCTCAAAAAAGAATAGATGACAATGCCCATTGAAGTTATAAGGGGATATTTGCATTCCCTGTGATAGCATTAAAAATGATAAAAAAAAATAACAAAAAAGTAAAAAAATATTGTTTTTTTTTTCAACATTTTCGGTCTTTTTTTGTTTATAGTGCAAAAAATAAAAAGTGCACGGGTGATCAAATGCCACTGAAAGAAAGCTCTAATTGTGTGGGAAAAAAGGACATAAATTTTGTTTGGGTACAGCATTGAATGACCGCGCAATTACCAGTTGAAATAGTGCGGTGCCAAATAGCAAAATGAGGCCTGGTCAGGAAGGGGGGTAAACCCTCAGGAGGGCAAATGGGTAATTACTGCCTTAATCAGCCCCTGAACCTGTATAATTAATATGTGTTTGGTTTTAAAGGGATGAGGTGTCAACTCTATTTCTAAATCAGATCCGTGTGACTGGGGACTTCGTCTAGGTTCACACCTATGCAGGTTGCGTTTGATGCGTTTCTGCATTGCGTTTTTTGCAGCATTTTTTATGTGTTTTGGGGGGGGGGGTTAATTTTTTAAACATTTGTCTTGTTGCTAGGCAGATTTAAAATGCAATACATGCTTTTTTTGCAGCGCTCCCATTGAAGCCTATAGAACCAACAACGCAACGTTTTGCATTCAAAAAAGTCCCTGACCCTTTACAAAAAAAAAGCACTGGGTGAAAATGCGGAGATGTGAGCCTGTCCCATAGGAAATCATGTTAAATGGACTGTACTGCGTTTCTGCAAAACACTGCGGAAAAATCTTAGGTGTGAACCTAGGGTAAAGGAACTATCTGCCTCTGTAGAAACACATCAGCGCATTGCCACAATGGCTAAGTGGCTAGCACTTCTGCCTGGCAGGGATAGGGTCGTCAGTTCAAATCCCACCCATGACAATAGCTGTATGGAGTTTGCATGCTCTCCCTGTGCTTGTGTGGGTTTTCTCCAAATGCTCTGGTTTCCTCTCACAAAGACAGGCTGGGAGGTAAATTGGCCCGTGTATGTGTGAATGTGAATAACCCTTGAGGGTTAAGGACTGATGTGAATGGGCAGCACAGTGGCTAAATGGTTAGCACTTCTACCTGGCAGTACTAGGGTTGTTGGTTCAAATCCCAGCCACAGCACCTCCTGCCTGGAGTTTGCATGTTCTCCCTGTGCCTGCATGTTCTCCCTGTGCCTGCATGGGTTTCCTCCAGCTACTCTGGTTACCTCCCACACTCCAAAGACATGCTGGTAGGTTAATTGGATCCTGTCTAAATTTGCCCTAGTATGTATGAATGTGAGTTAGGGACCTTAGATTGTACACCCCTTGAAGGTTAGGGACTGATGTGAATGTACAATATATATGTAAAGTGCTGCACAGGGGTGGACTGACAACTCATGGGGCCCCCGGCAATAGGGGATCATGGGACCCCTGTGTCCTTGCCCACACTCAAAAAAGCCTATGAAAAGGTACCAGGGGGCATCTCATGGGGCCCCGTACTGACCCTGGGCCCTCAGGCAGTGCCTGAGTTTCCAAATGGTCAGTCTGCCCCTGGTGCTGCATAAATTGACAGCGCTATATAAGTACCTGAAATAAATGTACAATATATATATGAAGTGCTGTGTACATTGACATTGCTATATAAGTACCTGTAATAAACCACCGGAAATGAAGCAAAATTTCCCCAACAGGATACAGATTGCAAGACTTCAACCTTTCAGTAGTCTGTAGAATAGAGAAAGTCTTGTCTGCACGTACACGTTAACACCATAAAAGATGACTGCTAAATAATTGGAATGGATGGACCATTGACCACAAGCAGCGTGTACGCCGTTTCCCTGTCCTCACACCCCAGCTGCACTTTATGAAAGAGATCTCCGTGCTATAAATCCCTCCTAATCTCCCCTCCCACCTCTGACAGCCATCAATCACTCCCGAGCCGCGGCTCAGAATAACTCGTCCCCGCCCACTCAGCACAACGTACACGCCTCTTTTCCATTCCTGGATCCCGCAGCAGCTCCGCCCCGCGGCCGGATGATTGACAGCAGGCTGTGTGTAGTCCGGAGTGTGTGGCGGAGGTGGCGGAGGTGGCGGTGCCGGGGGGATAGAGTACGGTGGTGTGGGGACGAAATGGGCAGCAAGGGTAACTTGTGTCTGTGTGAGCGCTAACACGACGTCCGGCCCCTCTACAGGTGAGTCTTCCTCTCTCTGGTATTTGGAAGAGGCTGGAAAGTTGTGTGTTGGCCTGAGGTCATTGTGTGCGGACAGGTGCAGGAGCTGAGGGACTATGGAGGAGCCACAGGGTTCCTGGGAGGGGAGAGCTGGCTGTGGGGACACTTCTAGGTGGTGGGGTGCTCCTACAATCCTCACTGTACTGGGGGGGGGGGGGGACATGTGTGATCCCTGTGTATTCTGGGGTTACTGGCCATTCATGATCCATGTGTACATATACACCAATCAGCCAGAACATTATGACCCCTGACCGATAAAGTCAATAACATTCTTTTTCTACAATCACATCTGAAAGTAGGTGGGATATATTAGGCAGCAAGTGAACATGTTGTCCCTGAAGTTAAAATCATATTAAACCTTTGTTTGTTTTGTTTTTAAGTTAACATACCACAGATGTCTATACTTAACCTGCTGTGTAGCACAGAGCAGCCCTGATCTTCCTCTTCTGGGGTTCCCCACTGCCGATCCTCTTCACAGGTGCCTCCATGGAAAGGTGCTTTCCATGGGGGCACCCATGCGGGCTCACTCCCGAGCCACCCTAACTGCGGTCCATTGACAGAGTGGGCAGCTCGACCCTGCTCCTGTGCCACAGCATTTGATTGATAGCTGCGGGAGCCAATGGCTGTCATTCTGCTCCATGAGGAGGGAGACAGTGGTTAGAGCCGCTGCTCTCGTGCACCTTGCTGGAACAGATCAGATCCTTGGGTGTCAAACTGGCGGCCCTCCAGCTGTTGCCAAACTCCAAGTCCCATCATGCCACTGCCTTTGGGGGTCATGCTTGTAACTGTCAATCTTGCAATGCCTCATGGGACTTGTAGTTTGGCCGCCAGCTTGACATCCGTGTAAGCTCCATGAGCAGGGCTCTCCTATTCCTTCTGTACTGAAATGTATGTTAATTGTACTGTCCCCCTTTATATTGTAAAATGCTGTGCAAACTGTTGGCGCTCTATAAATCCTGTATTATAATAATCTGATTTAAAAAGGGGGAGACTGGGGAGAAATACAGCATAGAACTGGCCTAGACACCGAGCGGCCGCACATTTGCGCTTATTAAAAAAAGACATGTACTGAGAGCGTGCGCTCCCAGCATACATGTCCGGTACTCGCGGAAAGGTCCCGATCTTCTCTTTCGATCTGGACCTTTCCTGATCATGTGACAGCATATCACAGCGGTCGCAGGATCCTAAACCCCACCCACCCCGCCTCCCGGCTTCTGCAACCCTTAAAGGGCCGGGAGGCGCCGGTGCGAAGGGGTTAAAGCAGACTTCCGTCCCCCCCCCCCCCCTCCTCTC